TCAGACGATTAGTGGATAACGTTTGCTGAAATTATGGATCGATTATACTTTCAGCATTATCGCCTGTATTGCACGTATGAAAATCTGTACAGAAAGTTTGAGTTTGTTGAGAATCGAATCAAATGTTTTCACCGATCTGATATTTCGTTAAATATGACGTGTTTTCACAGCATTCATGCGTTATTATTAAGGATGTTATACGGATAAAATAGATTTGTCAATGTACTTCATAGTTCTCTTAGAAATGTATTATTCGGGTCATTTCGCTGATTAAAAAAGAAGAGAAGATTTCTATTTTATTTTTTTTTTATGTTTTGTGTGCTTTGCCTCTTCGAATGTAATTATTCACTCACTGTGTTAGGTTGATCGAAACGGATCGCTGTACTTGTCAAATAAAACAGAAAATGAAATCAGTTTCGAAGGATTATTAATTTCCACATGTAAAACGACTAACATTGAATCGGCGGTTTTTCAAGAATTTAATGAACAGTTTTCTTATTTCCTCTTTGCACCCTTCCTATTTTTCCTTAACACCGAAATTTCCTACAAGAGTTTAATAAAGAAATAACGAATCTCTCGCACCTGATACTCTCGATTTTTCTAATCGAAAATCGTATTCCGTCCACGAAGTGCCCCGCTCACGAATCTCAGATCGTTAGTCGCGATTCGCCCGGTGCGGCGAACAAAGGATCAATTATCGGTGATTTCGCGTTGCGGGATCTCTCTCGTCGCGATTTTATCGAAGCTCCCGCAGGATCGAGAGGAGGCGATCGCGCGGAGCCCCGGGTAACGAGGACAAAAACCGGTTCAGCGCACAAAGGCAAAAGTAAAATTATTTCTGCGCGATCCTTTCTTTCTCCTCTCACTTTCAACGAAAGTCAGCATATTCGCGTCCCGCTGGCGGACAATAATGCCTCGTGCTACGGATGAATCGAAAATTAACGTGTTTTTAATGGTCGCGCGTGTACTTACTCGAAGACGTTGCGTTCGGGTCAACGTATGGGTCGCGTGCGCGCGTGCGTGCGTGCGCGTACACTGCAAACCCGAATGTGTTATTTTGATACGTATAAGTTGAAGCTTTCTTCACGCGTTTCTTGTCGTCTGAAATCACGTCATTTGATGCTGATTTCGATATCACTTAACGCGTTTAAACGCGTTAAACGACGTGATTTAAGACGACAAGATACTCGTAAGGTCGGGTCTACAATAGGTGTAGTAAGCTTCAAGCCTTAGGAAATTAACCAATCCTAGTCGATTTTTACAAGAATAATCGAATAAGGTTAGCCAATTTCTTAAGGCTTAAAGCTTACTACACCTATTGTAAACCCGGCCTAAGTCCTGGTCTACAATAGGTGATTTAAGCTTTAAGCTATAAGAAATTAACCAATTGCAGTTGAATGTGAGGAAAATAATCGACTGCCATTGGTTAATTTCTTACAGCTTAAAGCTTAAATCACCTATTGTAGACCAGGGCTAAAGGAAGCTTCAGCTTATATGCGTCAAAATAACACACTCGGGTTTGCAGTGTACACGCACGTAATACAGACGTTCGAGATTCACGCTCGAATGGCGTGCTGCGTAATTCGCCAACGAGATTAATGTTAATTGATTCGGAATCACAGGAGAAAGCGATAGGCGCAGGTGGATATGAACGTTCGGATGAACGGATATGAACCGTGCACATAATTACCGCACGAAAGCTCAGTTCTGCCGTTTCAGATCGGTATCCAATGCGAATGCAAGAAAACAATTTTCGATTTTTAATGCGGCTGGTAAGTGGTGAACGACGACAGTGAAGGAAAAAGCTAGAGCGAACAAATTACCTTCCGTTATCATTCTCTATTATTCTCGCGAGCGCCAAAGGAAGAATCTTCTGCAGCAAAATTGAAATTATATATTATTATATATAATAGAATATATACAGCCGGTGGCGACATTTTTAATTATATATATTGTATGTATAATAAGTATCTATATTCTCAGCGCATCTATATTTAATAGAAAATAAATTTTTTAGTAATACTCAAAGAGTAAATTTTCCCCCAATGGTCCTACCATTGACTCTGCGTTAAACGTCGATTTACGCAGAAAAACGAACGATTAAATAGTTGCAAACGCATAATAAGTGGGTTTGAATGAAGTTGGATTACATTTCAATTTGTAGAACAGATAAACTTTTAAATCAGATACTCAATCGATGATGTGATAAATATTGACAAATTTGGACAAGTGCGAGTCGCGATAACGAGCGCATGAATTTATGGTAAGCAATTAACAAAAGAGTAGAGTAATCGCTGCAACATTGCATCACAGAAATTGCAATCCAGTTGTTCGATACGCCGCTGGCCGAAAGTATTAATTAATTTAATTGAAGTCGTCTCGTTAGCCGATCGCGTTCTGATTTTGCTCGCGGTTACAGCGGTTTGGATTTCCTTGCTGCTCTGGCTCTCGTTTCTTCCTTCGTCTTCGCGATCTTAATCGGCCGCCGATAATACATCGCCGTAGCGCGATATAAATAAGTACACGTGCGGTTCGGTCGGTTGCCGAGAATCCTTGCGGGAGAAAGCGCGAGTTGAGCTCACTCTTTGAGTATTACTAAAAAATTTATTTTCGCGAAATAAGTAAGGCAGAGCAAAGCGCAAAATGACTTAATCTAATGCTGAAACGGATATAAATTTGTTTACATTTTCGTCCCGCTAATAGACGTAAATAAAGATACAGTAAGCTAAGCTCGACAGACGCGAGACAGTTAAGTTTCATAAATAATTAAGACGGTTAATTTTCAAAAATAAAAAAAATAATGTCTGTAAATAACCTTGATAAATTTCACAAGTAATTTTGGTAATATTTATAAAGAGGTTTTATAATTTTTATAACGAAACGCACCAACTCAGAGCTCTGGTAAATCTATCGAATAATTTTTACAAGTTTTGCAGGCCTCATATTTTTACAAGTAATTATGATGATTTTTATAGATAATTTTAGAAGCCACCGCACGTTGTCGATTGACAATGAATTAGCGCGAAGCAAACTTACCACCGATCGCGAATTCTGCCTTCGCGCGGTGAAGGCGCCGCGCCGGTGGAAACGATCCGTTGAATCGCAGATCGGTCCTGTTACTTTGTGAGTTTCCGTCGCCTTTCTTCGGCGATAGTCCTTTCACTCTCGTCCGCGCTCGCAAATCCGCGTCACACCCGTACGCGTGTGCTTTTGAGAGAAGCACAACTCGATCGCGGTGTTTTTCGCTACGACAAGTGTCTACTTCATGCGGAAATTATGCGGCGCCGTGTGTCGAAATTATTACTTCCTATTCGTGAGCTGTCACCTGTGCGGATTATCTAATGAGGAACGATCACCATGTAAACGCGATTTTCGCGAAGAAAGTGGAAAATCCGCGTTCGAATTCTTCTATTTTGGCATTTACGGAATTCGAGTCGAATTTTATTAAGCAGAGAAAATATAGGTTAATTTATAGAGAAATCAAATTTTTCACGTGCGCAAAAAATCGGCAGTTTTTTTAACACATATACATATGTAAGCACATTCATATTGAATTTATTATTACGATAAGCAGCAAACAATTACGATAAGCAAGAACTAATAGTAACAAGCAAATATAAGAAGTGATAAATAATGGATCGTGTTATGATAAGTCACACGTAGATACGTAGAATTATGATAAATGAGAAGTAATTCTCTGTCTTTATAAATTATTAATGCTGCTACATAAATGTTTCTAAGTGTATCTTAATGTCTAGTATTATCTCATCGCCCCTTCGAAGTACAAAAATGTTTTGTTATTTAAATCTGCGATATTCTGATATTGTATAGGGGGTCGGGATCTTTTGGAAAAGAAAAATCATGAAGATTAAACAGATTAAACTGAGAAGAAAAGTTTTGCAGAAAATTAAAAATTATTTTGCAAAAATTACGATAGTCATTAAGTTATTAATGATTGAAAGTGACCACATCTAGAAGCTTTTTAATTGATAATTTGGAAATTCGCGTACTTATTTGCAAAATGATGAAGGACCTTTTTGTTCAGAATGATTTAATCTACTAAACTAATGTAATTAATTAAAAAAGTTCCTAGATATCGTCATTTTCAATTATTAGTAACTTAATAACTATTGCAAAATGGTACTTGACTCTTTTCCTCAGTTCAATCTCATTAATTTTCACAATTTTCTGTTTTCAAAAGATCCCAGACACCCTGTATATTAATAAAAGCAAAACTCTCAACTTTTTTATCGCCTTATCGACTCATTCTCTTAGTGCCTTTCCTCTTATCTTATCTGTCATTTGCATCCATATTTACTTTCCCAGTTTAATCTTATCTTGTATACCTGCGATTATTTATTTATCCTTATTTATACCTGCGAGTATTTAATTTTGCTTCTTCTCTCTGTGTATTCCCTCTCTCTCTCTCTCTCTCTCTCTCTCTTTTTATCTTTTTTTTTTAACATCAATGTTTATTTTCCCAATATTCTTCACCTGTGTGTTATACTTTGATTTTATTACTACTTTTTATTATTATATATTACTGTTTCTTCTTTCGTGTCGTACTTTCTCTTTTACGCGACGATTGTATTTTTTATATTCTTGCGTCATTCTGATAATGAAAAGATGTTATCCTACAGCATGATAGAACACTATTCTATTTTCCACACCACATTCTGCTCTTCTTTCCCAAATCAAAATTCACTCCGTTATGGTCGAATGATCATGCGATTACTCGCATGATTCACGCAAACTCTCGCGAGACGCGCCTCGAGAGATCGTCAATCGCACGTTCGGCGAGGGTGTGCCTCCTCTCGTGACCGCGAACGGTCGGTCTCGGTCTCGCAGGCCGAGACCTTTTACCGGCGATCCTCTCCCCGTCGTGCCCACCGCGGTTCGTCGAACCCGTGGAGCGCGAGAGAGGAGCGCTAATCGCAAAAAGGAACGACCAAAGCAAAAAAGGAGACCCCGCAGAAGATGGAGACGAGATCGGGCGAACGTGAAGCCAGTCGGAAAGAGAGCGAACGAGCGAGTGCTTTCTTCGAGTGCACACCGATCCACGGTGAAGGTCCTCGTATATAAGCCATCGTAGACGCTTCTACAATAGTCAGTGCGGCTCGTCCCATTGGAAACACCATCGGTGCCCGACGTACACACACCGCAGCGCGAGATGCTCGCATTACGAGTTGTAAGTCACCGCCGCAACAGCCGTGCAGCGCTTCGAAATCGATCCGCTCGATGAGTTTCGGAAATTTCGGCGTCGTCGAGAAGAAAGTTAGCTCGCCGGGCTCCACCTCGAGCGCGTCCGATTAACGCGCTTCTGTGACGAATCCCGCGGCCAAGTGATATATCTCGACGCATCGAGGTCGCGAGCGCGCAGGGACGATCGAGATTTTTCGCTCCGGTTCGGTCGCGAACGCCCAGATCTACTGCCGGCTGTGCCGAAATCTGGGAAAGCGGCCGACCGTCAGTATGTGAACTGTGATCGAAATTTTCGGGCGCTCAGGAACTTTTGCTCGCTCGCACGACGGCTTGGTGAACTTTCCGTCGAACATTAACATCGCTCGGGTGTTAACATTTTTATTTGCGATTGAGACATTTATTAGGATTATATTTGTATTTTTGGAGAATATAATTTTGGAGAGTATAATTGGAGAATCGGAACTATATTTATATTTAGACAGCATATCTGGTAGCCTTCAGAATTTGTTATGTTTTCGAACTTAATTTTTGCCATTTTTAGGATTTATCTATCTTTGCTTTAATCTGTTAGAGATCACAATTTCAAATATTTAAAATATTTAGCGTTAGATGGGTATATTTCTCTCTTCCTGCGATATAAATTTTTTGTGGCTTCATGTTAAAAATTGAAACAATTAAAGTAAACTAAAAAGTAAAAAGTAAAATTCAAATGACAATTTACAGAACGGCGATAAATGTATTGTTTTCTCCCGCCCGTAATTTCGATCATAGTCTGATTTAAGAATACATATTCAATAATATACTTATTAAATTTTATAATTGATTATTATTTTTTAGTATTTATTTTGTATGTTTTTTAGAATTTATCATCTCTGTCAGATTTCAGAATCTGTCAGATAGAATCTCAAATATTTGAAATATTTAGCATTGAAAATCGAGCATAGTAATCGTTTTCTCTCTCTCTCTCTCTCTCTCTCTCTCTCTCTCTCTCTCTCTCTCTTTCTTCCAGCATATTTTTCTTATAATTTCATGCTAATAATCCAAACGATTAGAGCAAATTAAAGAGCAAAGAATTAAATTAGAGAGTAAAGAGTTAAATTCGGATGATGAATTGCCGGACGACGATTTATTTCTTAATATGATCCTCCTCCGCTCGTAAAGACAGAGTCTAATTTAAAGCTTAAGAATGCCCCGCCGGCAATTTGCTCTTTTTTCGCCATAGCAGCCGCGGTCCCGCAGACGGTCGCTCGTCATCTGTCAGACGTGCGTCGGGCGACGGGTTCGTTACGCTCTCATCAACGATTACACCTTTGCAGTTTTTATTCACGCTGGTGGCGGCGGCCACGGCGAGGCCCTCGTTCGAAGGCCATGGTCTGTCGGATGAGCCGAAGCTCATCTCGCAGTCGGTGCATCTGCACGAGGTGCCGACCAAGATCATCAAGGTCACCAAAACGGTAGCCATCAAGGTCCCCGTGCCGTATCCCGTTAAGGTGAGCAGCTGTTAGGGCGACTTGGTGGAAAACGAAAGCTCGTCAATTAGCGATCGAAAGTATCGGTCGACTTTGCGCGTCTTTATCTACGCTTAATCGAACCGTCTGGAAAAGAAGAGGATAATAAAGAATATCATTCGTGCGTGGAGGCGTGAAAGCGAATGACGTGTGAAAAAGGAAGGACCTAGACTTTTTGCGATTCTTTCGCGCGGATCGAAATTTCCGCGAGGAGTGAAACTTGAAGCTCGCGGGAAGAAATGTTGAAAGAACTGTTGGATCTCTTAAACAATTGCCATTGTCCCGAGACGCAAGAGTGATATTTCAACAGGAAGAGATATGATACCCGCGATATTTATATCTTGTCGAATCTGATTGTCGTCAACGTTCAGTTTATTTATGTTTCGAAATTTAATATCATGCCATCAATGTCGACTACTTGGATACGTGGATATTTCTTGAATACTTTCTTGTTTGTTGTGGAAGCTAGCCGAATATCTGTGGTTAGTATTTAGAGACGTAAAAGCCTATTGCGAAGCTAATTGCTGCAAAATCAAATAATAAGTGAGAGATGGGCATTATCTGTAATTTTTACTTATCGGGTACTCTAATATTGCATACTCAAATTTTTCGAGTATTTTCTGAGTGCTATTAGCTGAAAAAAATTATTAGCACATGAACATCGTGAAAAATATTTATATTATTTCAGAAAAATAAAAAACATAATTAGTTGATGCAAAAGTAACTTCTGAGAAAATTAATAACAGATGGCATATAAATATTACGTACGATTTTTTATGCCTCAGGTACTTTCAGGAAAGAAATGTCAAAAAACAATAATATTATATTAATATCAATTTACTTAAATCAACATTATTTAATTTATTTAAGTAGAACAAACTGTTGTTTTTTTTAATAGCAACGATTTTTAGCGGGTCTGCATTTCTTCAACTGAAAATAATTTTTCTTGATGCAAAAATGTTAATATAAGTAAGTATGTTTTATCAGGCCTCATCAAGATGGACATTTTTCATATTTAAATACTTTTCCTTTCAGCATAATATTATCCCTGGACAATATTTGCGATTTTCTATGTCAGATGTCCGAGACACCCGCATATTTGAACACTCGAGTAGTAACCGAGTCAGTAGTATTTAGAAACCACTCGATTCATACCGATCAAGCGTGATACTTTCGAGAGTACCTTCGTAAAAACCGCGCGGACATAATAATTTTCCCTATCTAACCGTGACTGATCGGCGGCGCGTTTCTCTTTTCACTCAGGTGCCGCAGCATATTCCATTTCCGGTGCCGGTGAAACATCCCGTGGCAGTTCCGGTGCCACAGATAGTGAAAGTGCCTCAGCACGTGCCGATACCGGTGGAGAAGCCGGTGCCGGTGGAGCTGCACCAGCAGATACCGCTGGTAGTGTCGAAGCCGGTGCCGATACCGCATCCGGTGCCGGTGCCGCATCCGGTTACTCTCACCAAGCCGATCTTCATCCCGGTGCCGAAGGCGATCCCGATTCCCCAATCGGTCCACAGCGTCGGGAGAACCGGAGGGGAGGACGATCACGTCAGCCATGAGACCAACTACGGCGCTTACAGCGTGAACGTCCAGAGTCACGAGGCGTCGTACGATCAGGGGGGCGGCGATCAGGGACACTTTCAACCCTCCCAGCCCGACTACTCGGATCATTAACTTTCGAGATGTGACGGACGGGTCGGCGGGTATCGGCGATGATCGGATGGCGGCGAGGACGCGGCGGGTCCGAAAGAAGCGGTCAATCATCGGCGAGGATGCACGGCGAGCTGATCGCCTCGAAAGCGGTTCGAGCCAAACGTCAAAACGCGAGTCAAGTGCGAGAGCGACCGCTTGTCTTGGAAACTTGACTCGCGCCGCTTTCATGATCGATCGCTCGCCAAGTAACGTTGTCCTTCGGAGTTGTATCGGCTAGGCCGGCTAACGCTGACCTTGCCGACGTTCCGATGAAGAGCAAGGTAGAGAGGAGTAGAGGAGGTGTGGGGGGAATTCGATAAAGGGTCAATCTAACGTGCGACTGCGGGATAGAGGATAACGGAGATGGCGGATAATCGTGGATAATGCCGATCAAAATGCGCGAGAATTTCACAACTTTGGAAGTTACAAGATTAAATTAAGATTAAATTAAAGAAGATGGGTTAAATCTCGTTAGAGTCGCAAGAGTGTGTAGCGAAGGATTTTTTGACGCTCTGCGATTTCTCCGAAGACGCAAGTGAAACTTTTCATCCGAAAATTTCAGGAAAATTTCTGAAGATCACGAGAAGATCGTGACGAAGACGGTAATTCGTTTCTTCGAGACATTGTTTTTTTTATTCTTGTAAACGCAACCCGAAAACCGAGTAGCAAGAGTTGCTTTTGCATCTGCGACACATGTGCGCACGTACATGTATTTTTATGTATATAGATCAACAAGTTTTCTCCGAGAGAAATGTTGAGTTTTTGTTTGCGCTTTGCGATGATAGACTGTTGACGTTGCATTGTTTTCTAATAAAAACGTTTTCACACGCCGCAATCTCGTGTTTTCCTGCCTTTATGTGTTTACTCGCTTTTCCTGGAGATAATCGTTTCATTATTCTCCTGAAATACTCCACAGACACCCATATGGACTGATCGTTGAGCAAGAGGTTGCGAAGGCTGCATCTACGAGGGTAGTCCCAGAAGTACCTGACCTGACGTATAGATAGCGGTTGTTGTTTGAAAAGAATGGCCATGGTAGAAAGTACCAATCTTATAAAGTTTAAGTTTGAAGTTTGACGACGCTACGTTGTTTAGTATTTGTTTGGTAGCCATCAATAATGAACGCTCTCAGTGAATTTGTAAACATGGAAAAAATTTGTCATCTTTATGTGATACAATACTTTCATTTGAAAGACCTCAGTTCAACCAATATCAAAGCGGAGATAGATTCTACTGGGAGAGTCTGCTTCTTCGTTTACAACAGTAAAATATTGGGTGGCAGAGTTTAAACGAGACCGTACGAGCTGCCAAGACGAACATCGCAGTGGTCGACCAAATGAGGTGACCACGCCAGAAATGGTGAAGAAAATCCACAAAATGATATTGGATGACCGTCGACTGAAAGTGCGCGAGTTAGCAGACATGGTAGGCATTTCAAAAAGTGCTGTACATCGTATATTGACTGAAAATTTGGACATGAGAAAGCTGTGCGCAAGATGGGTGCTGCGATTGGAACAAAAACAGCATCGTGAGGATATTTCAATCGAGTGTTTGGCGAAGTTTCGCAGCAATAAAGCCGAGTTTTTGCATCGATTCATAACCATGGATGAAACATGGGTCTATCACTTCACATCTGAGACGAAGGAACAGTCAAAACAATGGACCAAAGTGGCTTGATGGCTATTTTGAGGAGCTCGACGATTCCCACTATACTGGTAAACAGGGTATCGAAGCTATTGAACATCGCTGGGAGTAGTGTATTGAGCTAAAAGGAAACTATGTAGAGAAATACAGATATTTTTTCCCAAATTTTTTGTGTTTTCTTTGTTAAGTCAGGTACTTCTGGGACTACTCTCGTATACCATGGTAAATGATGAATTGTGCCGCAGACCGTCAATCTTTGTTTAGCTTGACTCTTATTGGAGAAAATTAGTCAAAGGCATGTCTGTAAACAATGGAAGAATAATGTACCTGTTCTCCACATCTTGTCTCTTCAATCCCTTTCTACGAGGGTAGTCCCAGAAGTACCTGACCTAACAAAGAAAACACAAAAAATTTGGGAAAAAATATCTTTATTTCTCTACATAGTCCCCTTTTAGCTCAATATACTTTTCCCAGCGATGTTCAATAGCTTCGATACCCTGTTTATAGTGGGAATCATTGAGCTCCTCAAATCTACCGCAGACTCCACCGCTTCATTGTTGGCAAATCTTTTACCACCGAGCCATTTTTTCAAGTTTGAAAACAGAAAATAATCCGAGGGGGTTAAATCTGGCGAATAGGGTGCGTGAGGAAGCAATTTGAACTTTAACTCATTAATTTTGGCCATCGAGATAACGGATGTGTGAACTGGTACGTTGTCTTGATGAAACGAAACTTTTTTTTTCGCCAAATGCGGCCGTTCTTTTTTATTTCATCACTCAGACGTTGCAATAAGTTTGCATAATACTCGCCATTGATTGTTTTTCCTTTCTGAAGATAATCAATGAAAATTATCCCACGTGCATTCCAAAAAACTGACGCCATGACTTTGCTTGCAGATGGAACTGTCTTCGCCTTTTTTGGAGCCGATTCTCCCCTTTCAGTCCATTGTTTTGACTGTTCCTTCGTCTCAGGTGTGAAGTGATGGACTCATGTTTCATTCATGGTTATGAATCGACGCAAAAACTCGGCTTTATTGCTGTGAAACTTCGCCAAACACTCGATTGAAACATCTCACAACGCTGTTTTTGTTCCATTGTGAGTAATCGCGGCACCCATCTTGCGCACAGCTTTCTCATGTCCAAATTTTCAGTCAATATACGATGTACAGCGCTTTTTGAAATGCCTACCATGTCTGCTAACTCGCGCACTTTCAGTCGACGGTCATCCAATATCATTTTGTGGATTTTCTTCACCATTTCTGGCGTGGTCACCTCATTTGGTCGACCACTGCGATGTTCGTCTTGGCAGCTCGTACGGTCTCGTTTAAACTCTGCCACCCAATATTTTACTGTTGTAAACGAAGAAGCAGACTCTCCCAGAGTAGAATCTATCTCCGCTTTGATATTGGTTGAACTGAGGCCTTTAAAATGAAAGTATTGTATCACATAACGATGACCAATTTTTTCCATGTTTACAAATTTACTGAGAGCGTTCACTATTGATGGCTGCCAAACAAATACTAAACAACGTAGCGTCGTCAAACTTCAAACTTAAACTTTATAAGATTGGTACTTTCTACCATAGCCATTCTTTTCAAACAACAACCGCCATCTGTACGTCAGGTTAGGTACTTCTGGGACTACCCTCGTACGTCTCGTAGCATTTCAGGATCACTTTCTTAAAGAGATTTTTTCCGAATTAAAGTTGGTAAAAAGAAATGATACATCCTTAATTTGATCTTCCGAAGTTAAGAGATATTTCTGAACCTCCCCTTGGAAGGATTTCGGAAGTGCATGTTTTTTCATCGAAATCGATTTTTGGTAAGAGTGTTGCGATTTCATATTCGAAAAGAAGAGATGAAAGAATAAGACCGTTACTTTTGAAGTCCTTTGACATTTTTTGAAATTTTGAAGTGTGGGGCGTTGAACCTTTTATGACTTACGGGAAGACTCCCGAGAAATCTTTAAAAAGCTGGAAAATATACTTTTGAACTCCATTTGTGCGGAGAGAAGTTAGGTATTGCTCGCTTTCACCAATTTCGAGTAAAGATGCTGGGATCGCCACTATGAAAATCGATTCTTGAATCGATTTTGTGTCGGAACAACCAAGATTGATTCACTGAAAATATTAAACTGAAAAGATCGATTCTGTGAAAATCGGTGCAGAAGAGATTGTTTCATACATCTCTCCAAATCCAGAGACATTTATCTATGGTTGCGTCCCGAAATGTGCCTGACAGAACTGTTTTCGCTTTCTGATAAAGTTTTTAATATGCCGCAAGGTAGTAAAGCTTATTGCTTTTTCTATAAAAATAAATTTTGGGCACCTTTTTTTACAAAAATCAATTTTAATCACTGACTTCTGATTATGTCCAGCAATGTATATGGTGCTTGGCTGTTAACTTATGTTAGACTTATATAAATAAGAAGCGTAAAAAATGTCACTAGTACAAAATACACAATAATTGACCGAGATAAAAATAAAACTTACGAAATATATATTAGATATTTTCTAACATATATATAAATATTTTCTTCATCGCAGCTTATGAATACCGGTCGTACAGCTTTTACATACGACGGATCGAAAATAAATCTCCTGTTGAAAGAATCGATTTACGTAAAAATCGGAATTGATAACAGTCGATTTTTGCTGAGAGAAAGTCGATTTTCCGAAAAATTGATACGAAGTCGAATTTCAAGTCAGTTCGAAGAAAACCCTCCTGAGAAGACACGTTCTTGCACACCTGAACCTGTGAAGCCTATAGAATACACTCCGTGTATTCGCGAGCGCATGGCGATTGCGACACCTTGTCACAGGGCAGCTGCGCTTCTCGTTTCTTGCCCGACGGGAAGCGCTGGCGTATCGCGTTCACTCGGCGTACTTCTCGGGCAGTATGCGCGCCGCGCCGCATGCAAATCCCATTAATCGCGCGGTGCCCCCGTTCTCCGTTTAATGAACGTTTCACCGCGTTCATGTAACCGCCTCTCTTATAACGCGACCTTAAATTTCGCTTTTGCGCTCGCGAATTAAGCGCGCGATTCTGATCGCGAATGCCCGCCCCGAAATTATCTGCCCGCTCCAGGAACGACTGTATTTCGTCTGATCGTCAACTGTCCGCCGATTGTGCAACGCTCGATGGTCGCTCGCAATTCATTCATCGAATACACCCGATCAGTCCGTATTTCTGCAGAAGCACCAAGTATTTTTTAATTAGTGTTTTAATTAATAACAGCGTTACTCTCTCTCTCTCTCTCTCTCTCTCTCTCTCTCTCTCTCTTTCTCTCTTAAATATCAAATTGAGAGGCCTTGAACCTCATTTTTTCCTACGACGATTAGGAAAATTGTTATTACTCAAATAAAAACTTTAATTGTTAAGTAAAGTTTTTACCTCGTAAAATGAAATTACAGAATAAAAATTGCGGTTACTAATTAAAACGTAGAGTAAAGTACAGTGACTAATCTCAACGTCGTTTTTGTATATAAAAGACAAGCCTGATGGTGTACGCACGTTGCACGCACGTGTGTTCGTACGAAGGACAATTCTGATTGGCTGGATTATATGTAACAATGACTATTTCATTAAAACTCATTTTAATAGTCATTGCTTGAATCTCGTCTCACGGGAGATACTCCGATTTCACTTTGGAGCTGGATCGGCGAGCTTCTCGGTTAATAATATACGATACATCGTATATTTTATTTGTAATTGCAATTCAACTGGAAAAAGCTCACATCCGCTTTTTTAAAGAAATCTTAATTAACGATATCACTGATATGAGCGAAGCAGTAGAAAACAATTCGAGGCTTTTCGAGCAGACTTTTGGGAAGGAACAGCGCTGTGTGGTTAAAACGGGCGCCGGGCGATCGGGAAGCGACAGAAGGATGCACGCTCGCGTGTTCCGTACGAAAACCTTTATTTCGATGATGAACAATCGGTACAGTGAGATTACAGGTAGAAACATCATACGCACAGGGCTAAAGGTAGTCACAGTGACGATCGGGGGGGAAGCACTCGATCGCGCGTTGCGGTACTCGCGGTAACGTCTTTTGGCGCGGAAGCCGGAGGACGCTCGCCTCCTGCTGGGACACTTGACCGGTCGCGAGACGAAGAACCGACGGGCGACGGGCGACGGGAGCAGGATGACAGGAGGAAGCGCACGAAGAAGAAGGATACGAACAGGAAGAGGAAGAGGAGGAAGAAGAAGAAGAAGAAGAAGACAAGTGGGGGACCAGAAGAGATGATCGAGAGCCGCGGGAGATCGTCCGTGAATTTTCGCGAGAACACACGGCACCGGCGCTCGTCGTCGTCGATCCGTCCTCCGAGCCACCACCCTCCGGCCGCCGTGCTCTCGCGAGGAGCAGCCCTTCCCCCGAGGAGGAACGCGGCCACTGCATCAGCTGCTGGCGTCTCGCGGCGACGGTGCCGTCGTGTCAGGGGAGCGTCGCTCAGGATCCGCATTTCGCGTTGGCCCTCCATTTACCAGCCGGAGTATCCGTAGCCGCCGTAGCCGTTGTAGCCGCTGTAGCCGCCGTAGCCGCTGTAGCCGCTGTAGCCGCCGTAGAGGCCGTTGTAGCCGAGGCCGGAGTGCACTTTCTCAACGACGACCGGCTGCGCGACCGGCACCGGGACGTGCTTGACGACGGGCACGGCGTACGGCTGCGGCACTTTGACGGCGTACGGCGCCGGGACGGGCACCTTCACCGGGACGCTGTATGGCACTGGCACTGGCCGGTCCACCGGCACGGCGACGTGTTTCGTCACCTCGACCGGGTACGGCTTCGGCACCTGCACTGGGTAGGGACGGTCGACCGGCACGGCGTACGGCACCTGGTTGAGAGAAATATGGTTGAGGGAAATATTTCAGGGACGTTAGTCGTCGTCCAGCAGAGGAGGCTCCTGGGAGGAGCCGCCGTTATTATGGGACGTTTGCAAATTTGATGAAAGGAAGACTTTTATATATATATATATATATATATTGGGTAGTTCGATAAGTTCCCCTTCGGATCTTGACGAAAAACGCCACTCCACTATCCCCACATCCAAGCGTAATTTTATCCTTTTTCTTCGATGACTTGTCGTCGAAGAAAATGGTTCGACACATTATTGGAAACAATGTGATGCTCAGCTGTGAAAGTATCAGCTTGGAGCTCTTCGCGAAAATACCTACGAACTTGTTGAGCGTCTTAATCGCGATTGACTCTTTCGTGAGCTACGAGCAATTTGTCAACGATTATTTTACGGAGCTTTCCTTCGGAATTGAACGAAACGCTTTTACAAGATTGCTGAAACTAGCTGGCGCAAGTAGCAGAATCGACGCTGCTGAGAAGACAAGAGATGCCGAGAGCTGTCGAAGCTGAAGGGTACCGAATACCGCGTCGGGAACGCGTCGATCAACATCGAGGCCACTTTCGATCTCTCGAGATGGAGTAACTCGAGATGGATTGGATGCAGAGAGAACGAGAGAGGAAAGAAGCGTGGGGCCTCTCTCCCGAGGCGAGTCGGAGCAGTCGCGACCTTTGGACTCAGCGATGCGTGATTAAGAGCGCGAGGTCCCCGATACATCGCGGCCGCTTCTGCGAATCGGTCGCCTCGATTCAGATATCGCTCGTAACAAGGTAGCGACTCGCTCGCGCGCGCATCGTGAGAAAACTCATAACGTCGTCCGCTAATCGCAGAAGCGATCGCGACGCGACGGCGAGAAACAGAGAGAGAGAGAGAGAGAGAGAGAGAGAGAGAGAGAGAGAGAGAGAGAGAGAGAGAGAGAGAGAGAGAGAGAGAGAGAGAGTGTTTTCCAGCCGGAGGCGCCGGCAGCCAGACAAACGGACGACCCTCGACCGGCCGATCAGTCGATCTCGTCGCTCGGGGAAAACCGACGGCGCGCGTCGCATGAAGCTATTATTTTCCCGTCGAGTCGTAATTTGCTAATTGACACGCTTTCTTCGCAATCGCCGCTTCCAGTAAGTCGACTCTCGATTTTCCTCCCCGTTTTTCCCCCCCTGCCCTCCCTTCTTTCTTCCCCCCTTGCTGATCTCCCTTTCTCCGTCTCTCTTCGGCCGAGAAGCGAGAAAATGAGAAACGCGCCCGCTTCAACGATGCTCGCGGCGCGTTAAACACGTGTAGAAGATCGGCGTGTAAAATACCGTGGCGTTGCACAGTATACCTTAACGGGCACCGGGACGTGTTTCTCGACGGGCACGGCGACCGGTTGCGGCACGGGCACGGCCACTTCCTTCGTCAGGACGGTGGAGACGCCGTGGCTGATGTCGAGCGGAAGCGACGAGTAGGTGCTGAGGCCCAATCCGCTGCCGAGACCATAGCCGCTGTAGCCGCTGTAGCCGCTGTAGCCGCCGTAGCCGCCGTAGCCCAGGGCGCCGTAGAGGCCCCGCTTCTCCTTCTTCGCGTCTGCCTTCGCGTCGCTCTGCTTCGCATCCTCCGCGAAGGCGAGCGCCACCAGGCCGAGCAGAAGGACCAGCTGCAAGCGGGTGTAAACAAACAGATAAGTAGCCGAAGAAGACGGCCAGGTAGGTAGAGCTACCTGGTGGATCAATTAGCACGTGAAGAGACGGACGAACAGGTGAGTAAATTGGCAGACGGATGGCTAAGTAGATTAATGAAGAGAGAAACGAAACAATGTGTGAGCGTGTAAGATAAACAGAGAGGTAAACGCGCAGGTAGATCAATAGGTAGATAGGAAAATAAAAGGATATAGATATGCGGACGTGCAAACAAGATAGATCGGGGACTAAAGAGAGACACGAGAGGCCAATGTGAGAGTATAAATAGATAAATAAAGAGGCAAATATACAGGTAGATGGATATATAAACGTACAAACAAGTAGATTGGCATCTAGAAAAATAAATTAAATATATATAAGCGTACAAATAAAGATAGATAAAGAGGCAAGAGTGAGTGAACAGACAAGAGGAGATGAAGCGAGTCAAGTGTGGACATGTAGACAGATAAATCAGCAGATAGAAGATAGAAATGTGTCAGCAGATGAATCGATAATCCGAGAAAGAAATCGAACGAGTGCAACAAGGACGTCGTTGTCGCGCGAGCACTTGCTTTATCACGACGACGAGTCGCGGGTTCTTCGGAGAGACAGAATAGATAACGGACAACGTCAATTAATCCGACGTTAATCAGACCCTTCTACGTTACACGAAGTGGGCGAGAAGAGCGAGCTGATTACTGTCGCGACTCGAACTCGAGCAACATCGCGGTGCTACTCTCCGCGGCCTCCCTGGGCTTCACCCTCGCAAGAACGCGATCGAGCGAGCGCGATCGATCGGTCTCTTCCCTTCCGGAGATCGTTACTTCAAGATGCCTCGTAAGGATACTCCTCCTCGTTCTTTGCGATACCGATCCAGCGCGAGAAGGAAATCGGTGAATACCTTCGTGTTCATGATGCTGCGCGAGTTTGTCGGACTCGTCGTGTTCGTCGTATTCGCGACTGATGAGTACGATGAAGATCCCCCGGCTTTTATACTCGGTGGGACTCGCCCGAGTCGAAAACCCTCAAGGAGAGACCGGCAAGGAGAGCGAGGTGGTGGGCGCGACGACGACAACGACAGCGGCGGTACGGCGAAGGAGCGGCGCGGTGCGGAGCGGAACGGCGCGACGCGGTGCGGCGCGGGCCCGCCGAAACACGGTTAGGTGAAAAGAAACCGGGCCCCGCGCGCAAAACGAGTAGGGGCCCGCCGAAAAACTCGCGGACCACTCTTCTCGCCGCGGCGAGAGAATCGCGCGCGCGCGGGTCTTGCGCAAATCCGCCGCCGCTGCCGCCTTGCGATACTCCGAAGCCGAAGGATCCACGAGCTGGAGCGCCTCCGTGCTCGAGATCACGGGTAACCGCGGACAAAGGCCCGTTCAATTCGCAGATGTACATTTGCCAACGCTCCGAGCGATTTCACGCTCGGCAGACAATCGCGTGCAGAAATTCGCGCGACGGCGTTTGCTCGAACACTTGCGTTCTCAGGGGGCGTTCAATTTCACGCACGCGGCGATTGAGTGAGTTGAGCGAGGGAGTGCCTACCTATATTTAGCCGTTTATTTTTCTGTTTACACGTTTATTAGTTTATTTGTTTGTTTTTATTATTTATCTTTGTGACACATTATTTTAAGATGTTGCGAGAAATTTAAGCGAGAAAGTGTCTAGTCTATCTATATATATCATATATATATTTGTTCATTTATATATCTATCTGTTTTTATTATTTATTTTTTTAATATATTATTTCAATACATTATGAGAAATGTATCATTTAACGATGCATTTATCAATTTATTTACCCTGTCCAAAATTTATATGTCTGTCAGTTTGTCTGTCTGTATATTTTCATATTTCTTAGTTTATTCATTCGCCTATTTGTACGCTACTATCGAGCTATCTATATCTATTATTTATTTAATTTATCTATGCGTATCTATTAATCCGCCTATTGGTCTATCTACATAGTTATTCGTATGCTTATCTATTTACACATCTATACGTAGCTTTCTATCTATTATTTAGCCATCTTATCCGTCCATCTACGTATTTTACCATCCAGCTGTTTATTTATTTACCCATATACGTTGTACACATAATCATGAATATGCGATCAAATATGCAATTATGATAATCATACTTCTCGTCGAAAAACATTTCTCCGGAGCTGATTTTGTCTCGCGGAACGGCCTTTACACGTGGCGTCGCTAATTGAGTCTCGTACCGATTCAATCGCCGGATCTTTGTTTCGCGATCGCAGGATCGCGCGACCATGCCCTCCATCGTCCGATTGCGCAATCGCGCGCGCTCCCCCATCGATCTTGTAATTGAAAATCCGCAATCGAGTCGAGGAATAAATGGAGTTTAGCTCTCGACCGCGCGAGCGTCGCGCCGGCAATAAACGTCCGCGAGTGAAATTACGTATCGTAAGTTGAGTCGCGCGGCTCGACGCTTTTGTTACGTGCGAGGAGGAGCGGGGTAGAGACCGAGAAGGGAGAAGAGAAAAGGAGTCTCTTCTGCCTCGCCGACGAAAAACCCACAACGGTACCGACAATGTTAATTAAAAGGCGACAACGGTTGATCCGGTGCTCAATCAAGCGTCTACGCTCGTCCCGGCAATCCGAAGGGGAGACCGCCATTCAGAGATGGACTCCCGGTGTGAATTACTTAATTACTTGACAGATATGACACAACAACATTACGCGCATCGTGCACACACCGGGCCACCTCTCGCTCGTAAATCATCGCGTCGTTTATTATCACGTAACGAGACCGAGTCTTATTTTCTTCTTCGAGCCGGCGAAGAAGGGCCGGCAGGCGTGAGACATGGCCGCCCCGGCTCGATCGGGTGTCATAAATCCTGGAGAAAAATCTTGGGACGAAGCGGGGGGAGGGGGCGATCTCACATCGGAAGAGGGACCATGCACGGCCGGCGAGCGCGCGCTTGGCTTCGCGATCTCCGGCGGTTCGTTCGATTTCTAAAGGGTGAACGATGAGAGCCAATGAGAGTCCTGGAGAATCCTGCTCGCAATTGATCTCGTGTAATTGCTTTACTTTCAAATCTCGACGGCATGCCAGGCACTCGACTACGTAACCCTTCTTCAATTTCCTCCCTGTGAGCGTGGAAAATCGTCATCGGTGAATGATTTGCCTCTGTCGATATTCGATCGAACGAAAAGTATGAAGGATCCTCCGACGCCGATTAACCAGACGCGACAGGTTTTTCAGGGAAACACGTAATGCAAGGGCAGAAGTGTGTTCTTATTTCTTTTAGTTCCACTCAGCTTGCGCGTTGTGATCGTAAAATGCATTGTTATATAAATTTGAAAAGTTTCTGCGAGATTATACAAACCGGCCGCTTTCGACCGCCTGATAGTTTTGGTGTTAAGAGCTCCCACAAAGATCTCTGTGGTCGAATCAAATGAAACGCGTTGATATTTGTTAATTTCCGATTATTATTATTGCCGTCACTAATATAATAATATAATAATCGTCGTCGACGATTTCGCGATATAGAAAGTATTTTTAATATATTATATTTATTTCTGTCGCCTTTTTCTTTCTGCCTCCTTAATTTTATATATTCAAATTTATTTGCACTTTCGTCACATTATTTATTTTTAATATAATCGATGTCAAGGCCACGTGAAGCAGCGGCTTCGCGACTCGCGGCCCGCGCTCGCGCGAGAAATTCTCTCTTAAGATCCGCCAACGTTGTACGCGATGAAGCGCCCGACGACTCCCTCGGCCGCGTATTTTTCTTTATTCCGTGCTTTCCGCGAGATGCTCAACAGGGCGGAGTACGCAGGAGGGAAAGAGGAAGAGAGAAAGAGAAGGAGAAGGCGACCGCGGTGGGGCCGCGACCGGTATTCCTCTTTCCACGGCAGAACGAGCTATTACCGAAAGTGGTTCGTGTTTTGGGCAGCTTCGCGCAATTTCGCCAGTTAATTGGCCCACCTGTCCGGTTCTAGAAAATGGCGAGCGTGACGCGGCGTCGTTAATGCATATTTTTCTTGACACTCTCATAGACGAGCGGTCGCAGCTGTCTCCGTCGGCTCGTTGTCGAAAATTAAATATTACGGCAACGACTCGCTTGTCATCGTTACGACGTCGAGCGTCGTAACGAGGACTGGAAGAGCTGAGTCTCGCAAGATGATACCTCCCTACACACACACACATACACACACATAACTATTCCAAAAATTCGGCATTTACCCGGTGACATAATCCACAGCAAAACGGCCGGCTTTATCGTCGCCATTTTCACGCAAAATCACTTTCGTTCTTGAATTATGGGAGAAAGGACAAGATGTCGATCTCGAATAGTTAAAATTTCATGTGACCGTCGGTTCTAACGAATCCATGGAAGGAACGTTTAAAAGGGACGCTTTTTTCGCCGTGCATTCGAAAAGCAATGAGAGAGAGAGAGAGAGAGAGAGAGAGAGAGAGAGAGAGAGGGGGGAGACGGGGCGGAGAGAAAATAAACGAATGTCGGCCGCGATCTCGTTACATAAAAACGTCCGGATGAAACGCGGACGAGCGGGCACGGTAGCCAATCTCGATACCGCGGGCCGCATAACTTACGGAGTTTGTTTGCGAAATCGGGCGTGCGGGCGCGCGCCCGATTACGAGCAATGGAGTCATTAATTGGGCCTATTTTGAAGGAGTCCAGACGCGCGTCTATCGCGAACGGGTCTCGTATGGTGATTCACGCTGGCGAGGCACGCGCCGGCCCTCTGACGGACGACCGAAAGATCTGCTCGGCTAGAGATCTGTTGACTCGATAAATTAAACATCGCGACGGAAATTATGGAGGAATGCCCGCGGTTGATTCCGCAAACGATACGTCGCGAGTCGCATTGCTTCCGACGGGAGGCGGCCGCTAATTAGCGACTGCGAGCGAGACAGAGAGAGAGAGAGAGAGAGAGATGAAGAGGGAGGGCGGAGGGAGAGGTGAAGAGACTCGCTAATATATTTATCTAATCGGTCTTCCTTCGCTCGTATATATTCTCTTCCGTTTCCTCAACTTATTATATTCACAACCGGCGGGAGGCTCCAAAGCCTTCCGCCTGCGCGCCGCTAATCCTCGCGTTCGCGGCTCCTCCTCAGCGCGTCGATTCACCTAAACATTTATTTATTTCTCTACTGGAAGCGGTCAGCCTTCGGATCTTCGAGATTCTGACCGTCTCACCGTCGCGCCCACGTAAGAGCAATTAAATGCGGAATGTGAGAGATTTCGCTATTTCTTTGCTCTCCGGAGAGTTATTTTCCTCCGGTCGTGAAATTCCCTGAAGGATGCTCGGTCGCTCGTAACTCAGGACGCCTCTCTGTCTTCTCTATCTGCTCGTGTAGTACACATAAATAAATAAATAGTTTGCGTCATATACGCACGTATACACACGCATACACACATAGCTCAGCTGTCGTCGGCATTTTTATCGCGACTTCATTCGATCCGGCTCGACCTGGTGCGACCACAGCGCGACCTGACTCGGCGGAGCGCGACGGCGCGGCGGGGTGTGGGGGGAGGGAGGGGTCGTGCGAATTTTTTGTCCGCTGAACGATGAAAAATTCCTCCTTGATATTACGGTCTCGGTCAAAAGTCTTCGGGGGCCGTTCGCATCATTAATATGAAGATCGCGTTAGTTCGGTTCTACGATCGTCGCGGAATCCGACGACGAGTGCTGTATTTTACGACCGGACCACCGACGACCTTGTCGACTCTCTCGCTCTCTCTTTCTCTCTTTCTTCGAGTAGACACATCCGGAAATCTGTCGAATAGTTTACGTAGTTCAAACATAGTTTCCACATTTGATCCCGGATGCTCCTCTTTTTTTTTCGATGGCGAGCAGGCGGCTACGATATTCGGCCGGCGAAGAAAGATACAAATAGGCGATTAAATGATCAAGAGACGCGTCCCGGACGCGGATCCTCGTCTCGAACGCCTTGAGAGGAGAGTCCGCCAATCCTCATGATACCGATTCCGAATTTGCATGTGACATTTACCTGGCGCCGACGGGTAACGTCTGCGTAAATAGAATAGGCGGACTCGATGAGAAAAGGGAGAGAGAAAAAAATACGATCGGGATTTTCGATCGGTATAAATTTCGCCGCGAGGTCTCGAAGTTTTACAGTAGTTAGTAGCCGACGGCGTCGTGAATCCCGCGACGCTGCACGCAGGAAGGATATCGCAGAGGAACCGCGCGAACATCCTGGCTGGCGGTTCTGAATTAAATTCTCAGGAAAATTATCGTTTCGTATCAGAAATTTTCGAGGAAAATCTCTCGTAAAAGCGCGACAACGGTCCAACGAACGGAAACGTCCTGTTTTTTGGCGATTCAAGAAATTTAAATGTAATCCCATTTTTATTTATTTTCACATCTTCTGTCAATCAAGATTGGTGAATTAAATTCAAGGTAAGCACATCTTCTCAGAAACATCATTTGATTCGGGCTAGAACTTCCCGAAAGATCCGTGATCGCTCGATGCAAATTGACGAACGACTGGCGAAAACACGCTACCGGCGAATGCAAATTCTGATATGGTGTAATTGCTATTTATTATTATATGTTTTATTAATTAACCGTCCTTGGATAAAATTCAAAGCAGGCATATCTTTCCGGGAAAATCGTCCGCCTCGTGTTGGAATGTTTTGAGAGATCTGCGATCGCTCGGGGCGAATCGTCGAACGCTCGCTCGTCGACGTCGGTCTCGATACGGGCTTCACTTTCTTTCGTATTTTTCATCAATTAATATTCCTGAACTTCAAAGCGGAGACAGTCGCGAACAAGTTACCCGCTTCGTGTTGGAATTTCTCGGAGGACGCGCAGCAGAGGGCGCGCTGCAGATTGATGGACGACACCTGCGTGCGTGCTTATCGAGAGCGCACGATCGTGACGAGATAATGAAATAGGTCACGCGCGCGGAATTTGCCCGACACTGAGTGGCCTGATTGCATGTGGCTGAATCAAGACGCACCGATCCAGATGCACTTTGGTATCATATGTAAAGGATAATCGCATCTAACCGAGGCGTACAAGGCGGCACACTTTCCCTCTCCGATCTCCAACTGTGATTAACATCGCGAGGGTAGCGCTGCGCATTCCTCGCGGATTAATCATGTTTATTTAATCTCAATTTCGACGTACACGCTAATCGGCAGCTTTAGCGCGCGATGCAAATAGGTTATTGGGATCTTCTTGCTGTGCGTGCAACGTTGAGTCATTATTTATTGGTTATTCTAAGAAGCGAGGACGACGTGGCTAATCGGCAATCTGTGATAGCTTTGTGTTGCTATACGTCCTGAAGCGAATGAAATACAAAATACTACGTACTTTGGCCATAAACTATTGCAGTTTCGTTCCCTAGAGCGAATTATATGTAAAATACTAATTATACAATATTTCTGTTTTAAAAGACCGATCATGTACCGGTCATGAATTAGCTATAAAAACACTAGAAAATCGTGAGAAACTTGAGAAATCTATTTTGCATCATTATTTATAATCTCATTTTTCAGTGCATTGCTTGACTCACTTTTCCAATAACTTTTCTAAATTCTTTTTCCCCTTATTTTTGCAATATACACGTGTATGAAATTTCTGAGAAAGAGAGTGAGGCCGGAAAGGTTGAAGCAAGCGACCCAAGAATTAAAGGATATCGTTACGCACTACGCGAAGCGATCGCGGTTCGACCAACAGTGGGTCCATCGAGTTCCCGCGAGTTTCCGGGCTTGCAGGGAGCGAGGTGTTGCATAAATCGGTCCGATTACGCCACCGGAAACTGCGGTCCGCCGTGTATTCCTCAGGACCCGTTTGTCGGTAAGCGCGTAAGCGCGAGATGCGTATACGCGCATGTGTGCGTGCGTGCGTGCGTGCGTACTCGCTCGTAGTGATTACATAATCGTGAACGCCGGCCTAACCGGCCGGCCCCGGCGAAATCGCCGAAAATTCCACGTTTCGCGTGCGTATCGCACCGGTTATTACACGCACGTTCGCCTCGCTCTGCTCCGCTCCGCTCCGCGTCGCGTCGCGTCGCGTCGCGTCGCGCCGCATCACCTCGATATGTACAACGCGCGCACCGATGCGTTCTGCATCGCACACGACCTGCATTCGCTTTCGCGTTCCTGAAGGTCCGTGAGGTTGCAACGCCCGACCGAAATCGGAACGTCGTTTCCACGTTCTTCGTCGTGAGCGCCGCTACTGTTGCCGCCGCTGCAGCTACTTATTAATAACCGTCGTAAATCTCACGACACGACGTATGAGAGTTGCTGGATCAACAAGCTGAGGATAATATAATGTTTAAGTTAGTGTCTGAAATAATATGCCGAGTGTCAGAGAAATAAGGAGAGAAGGAAAGGCAAAGGACGAGAGAGTAAATTTATAAGTAAGATAATTAATGCATACAGTTTGATATAAATCAGGAATATAATCAGTTATTTAGTTCTTGATTTATACAGAGACACTTATTAGCACGCAAAATATGTAAATGTAAAGTTTCTAAGAAATTATAAACTATAAATGATAAATTTGGGAAGAAAGAAGAAAGAATTATAATAATTATACATATATAATTATGAATATTAACGGTGTCAAATAAAATTAATTTTGTTAAAATTATAGTGCATTCAACAAAAATATCAATATAGTCCGCAGTAGCGAAATATTTTGCGACAAAGTGAGATATATCTGATTGTAATAATTATTCTTAATTATTACAATCTTAATAAAAAATTGAAATGACGAGGGTATCTTTTGAGTGTACTCACCAGTCAAACCCTCAAATTCGACATCAACAGAAGAAGTTGACCGGCGAAAGGATGTATCGGCAGGATCACGATATATGATATGTAGCAAGAGCCGATATCCTCGAGGAGCAAAACTGCGGTGGCTGTTAATTGCTAAACGCGGCACATCGAACGGGCGTTTCGTTATTGTCATGCAAATCAGCGTGATCGACGAGCCGTTATTATGTACGCGGCACGTTCCGCGCGTAAAGAAAGAAAGTCGACCGCGTGCGTCCTCGAAATTACATATCCACGTTACGAGGAAGCTTGTCGCCTGGCTTTGTTCCTATCTTCTTTGAGTCACCCATATCAATTGCGTTCGATTAAAGTGACCACCGTGTCACGCTGCACGCGTGTGCACGTGTGGACGTGTCGCGATCTTGCGTAATCGCGACTCGTGCCTCGATTTGTTGCAAAAGGATTGGATGGTAGCCGTCGAAGTTTACTCGGAGGTGGTGGTCGAAGGGAACGCAGGAAACGTACGGAGACGCGTTTGGAACGCGAACAATCTTGTGCCCGGTCTCGCTTGCATTCCGCGGGCCGCCTCGGAAATCTATGCAAATCTTATGTAAGAGGCAGTCGATCACACACCCGAGTTTATAAAAGTTTATATGCATTCCGTTTATCTCCGCGCAACCCCGAGTATTTTACGCAAGTTGGTCGTTCACATTCCGCCATTTGCATCGTTATCGCGTCGCGTATCTGCATTCTTGCATCTCAACTCTTTCCAAAGATCTCGAAAGGAACGGGGAAATTTCGATGACTCGGAGTCGGAGAGAGAAAAAAACGGGCCTTGGGAAAGTTGAGACGGGGCTAATTGCGCATCAAAACATCTTGCTTATAATAAATGTTATTAACAATTATCAAAAGCTGAAGTAACGATAAAAATTTTCGGATACTCAATCAGTCTCTCAAATTCTATCAACATAAAAAACATTGGAACATAATAGACATTGGAACAACCGAAATTACATGTAATAACAATAATAATAACAATAATAATGATAGCAACAATATGTATTAATGGAATCCCCTGTAATTGGATAACAAGAAGAAATAAAGTAGGATAGACCGCAAGATTAATAATTGACGTGAATAAATAATTAATGAAATTAAAAAATAATATCTATTAATCTATTAATAGGGAAGCGATTTGCACAAATAATAATATCGCAGAAATAATATTTCTTAAAATATATTGGAGGAAAAGAACTGATTGTCGATATCACCGAGTCCGAACATCGAAGTGAAGAAGTGATCAAAATTCTCGCGTTTCATGGAACGCGAATATACAGGGTGATCCGAAATTCCCGCATTCGGAGTACAGGACATGATACTTTTTGCTAAAACAAACAACTTTTTTCTTTAGCAAAATTCCGTCCGACAAGTAATTTTTGCAGGAGTATATCACACAATTTGAATTTTAAATAAGTTCTTTGTATTTTCTATTATAAAAAAATAAAAAGAGAGCTCTTAAAAGACGTTAATTCAAATATTTTACTTTTAATCACTGTTACAAATATGTATACTCCTATGTATACGCTTGATCAGTAAATTAATCTTTGAGTTTAATGATACTACTTAATTATCACGTAATTATACAATATTTGAAATAATAGAACGCTCACAGCTCGCAAAACATATTACTATTTACATTTGTCTTTATTTTCAGATAATATTGTGCAACCAGACAGAATATTTTATTCATTTATTACGTAAGAAATAAAGGCAGTACTTATTTTATTAACTTTTCATTATTTAAGCAATACAAATACGAAAGCGGGTCAAATCCCGGTATTGTTCATAATTGATTCTTATTATTTGAAATTGTCTTAAGCACAGTCTTAAAATGTTGTATTCACAACAGAACCGTATGAGTGTCTTAAAAGACACTACTTATGACTATTAATCACGGACTAGGTACACGCGAGTGAGGCGCACGCGCCGGCCCTGAGCGCTACATAGACAAGAGCGCTTATTCGTTAAATTTAACACGCTCTCCTGCAAAAACCACTTGTCGGACGCAATTTTGCTAAAGGGAAAAGTTGTTTGTTTTAGCATAAAGTATCATGTCCTGTACTCCGAATGCGGGAATTTCGGATCATCCAGTATATCAGCGAAATGAACTTTCGTGGATAAAAAAATATATTTAAAGAACTTGGCGCATGTCTTGTGGAAACGAACGGCATCCGATTGCTGCGTTCGGAAATTTTTGGCAAGGTTTCTCGTTACGGTGTTATCTACGTATTATACGATTACAGCGTTATTGCAAAATCGACGAACGAGACGCGCGCAGAATTGGGCATTTTAATCGAAACGAGCCGTTTGCTTAATCGCATTTCTCGTGCCGAGAATTGATTTCATAAAGATAGAACGGTGACGGATGACGAGTGCCGAACGTATTTACGTCGATGCAGCATATTACACGCTCTTGCTCAATCCTTCTCCACCTCGCACTTCTATATTCTGCAAGAATTTCGAATAAATTTTTCTTCCTTACCTCTTTCTCTATTTTTTTTCTTTTTTACTTAATGAGAAACTCATGGTGATAAAGAGAAATTCTGACAGGACCTTTTTAACGAGAAACTCACGGTGATGAAGAGGTATTCTGACAGAACCTCTCTAAAATAGTATCGATGATATACGAATTTTTCGTTTACGATACTCGAATTTCGGAGAAATGATATTATCTCTCTCTCTCTCTCTTTCTTTACTTCTTAGAAATTCACAGAAATATTCGCTAGTTGCTCGTGGAGGATATAAAAATTCACGAGTAACGACGTTAATCTAAAAATATTTCATCGATGTAATAAATGCCATCTTAAATCAATCATAAAAAGTTGTTGTTGCGGACGAGCCGGGTGAGGTGAAATAAATAATATTAATTTCAGTTATGTAAACTGAAACTAAGCCAGCGCTCTCTCTTTCTCTCTGAGCGAGTGAAAATATTGAAACGGATAAATAATAATCCACAGCGCAGACTGGACTTTTTGGAAACCTGACCGCACATCTTTGGAGAGGAGATTTCGGGTTGCAACATTTGTTTCTTTCTACAGCATTTCAAACGTGTGACTTTTATTGAAGTGGCATAATCAGCCTCGGACAGGACTCTCGCGACCGTTGACCAATTTTCGCTGCCGTTTGACCGCTCTTGCACGCCGGGTTCGAAACGGCAGACGAGCGTCGCCAAAATTTCACGCAACGTGTCGCAAGAAATGAGAGAGACACGCTTCCGCGCGCGTGTTCACTTCACCGCGAAAATATCTTGCGCGATATCTCAGGATTCGAAGTCCCCTCATATCCTCTGCCGCCGCTCCTGAGGACGCAACGTTATTTCTTTCCCACGTCTTTCTTCGCGCTACGTTCGTGTTGCGCCATTATGTCGGTTGCGGGGTAACGACAACACGACCGAGCGACTTTAGCGTTTAACGGAACGTGAACCATGCGTTGAGCCATGCGTCTAACGAGCCGACATGGGCAGTTAGGGTTAGTCCATTGGCCAACGCCATATCGTTACACTCGCGCCGACTCTTCATGCGGTCTTTAACTAGCTTCCACTTTGGCTTGTTCTTAGGAGTTCTAATCTCTGTATAATTTCTCGTCATCTGGACTCATCTTGTCAGAGGTGATATAATCGGTATTACACGGATGACATTCACGTTATTACATTTAGTACTTTAATTATGGCAAAACTGAAACCTGAGATTTTTCTACTAGCTAACATCACCAGGATGATATCGACGAGCATCTTAATATGATTTTATAATTTCGACTAGCTCAAATTTCAAAATTCATTTCTCCTCAATTTCTATACAATATTACGTGTATAATGTCACTTTGTGTGTACAGAGTTATCCGCCATTTACATAAAATGCGAAATTAATCTTCTTTCAATCTCGATCCAACATGAAGTTTCAAATCAAACGTTTTAGGCGTATTATGTTTGCGGGAACTCTTTGGCTTGTCTCGGTGAGGAGAATATAACATACAGCCAAGCCATCCTTTGTGAAACACCCTGTATATTTATCTCGCACAATGTATCCTCTATTCGAGACGTCGCTGCCATTAATCAGCAGCCACGCGAGTTTCTCGCGATAAACACGAGACACCGGAGATTTATGACGGTCGATCGATCGGCTTTACGAAAACCCTCGCCGACTATAGACGCGAGATACTCGCAGGCTCATCTCCGACGGCGGGATGGGAAGGGCCCAGTTAGCTACCGGGCGAAAATTTACGGTCTCCATCGTGAAAGGTGGGCGCACCTGGGGCGCGAGGTGTAAAACTCGACCACGAAGTGCCGGCGTTCCGAGTGGCGGGTGACGAGCAACAGAAGCGAGCGGTGATGAGCGGCGGGGCGAACGCGGCCACTTAAATCTTCATTACGAAAGAGCGCGCGCGAGGCGTCGATCTCCTCCGCGCGCGAGTGTTTTGTATCGTTTCGACATTTCCTAAGAGGCCGCGCGGAGCGAGAGGCTCCGCGTGCCGCGATTCGATCTCGCATTGTGCGCGATTACGACTATATCGCGTTTGAAACGCGAACGGACGGGCAGGCTGCTGAAATCGCCGCCGAAATTGCGCACCCCGCGACGCGACTCGCACGGCTCCAGGTTCACCTTGACTCTGTGGTTCTTCGGCGCCGGCGATTGCGAAGCGCGTCCTGAAAATAGTCCAGTTCGAAAGTTCTAGTAGACCCAGTTACGACCAAACGCGACTCCGCGACTTCGGAGTTGGCGCGTGTGAAATTGTGCGTGAGGTTGCGCTGTGACATCACAGTTCGTTCGTAATACCTGTAATATTCGTAAAATATATCCTGAGATCTGCGACTTTTTATTGGCCGTAAAGGTATCCACGGGTTCCCTATCTTCTAATATCAATTTGCTTAATTTTCAATTAATCTCAATTCACATTGTAGCAGAAAATTCATAGATATGCTATACAAATAATTTCCATTTCGTGTTTTCAAGAATAGTCTCGATAATTTCGGAAAATTCAATTTTGATCTGACGCTAATGTATATAAAATTGCGCTGTAAAATTATAACTATCGTATTTGTGTATGTGATAGAGTTGTAAGATTTGTCTTGTATCCGTAAGTCTTGTATCTCATAGTTGAACTATTTCTGAAAATTTCTGTATAAACTTTCGATAAAACACAAGCAAATCTTGAAACCGTCCGAGTGAAGGTAATTCTGCAGCGAATCACCGTAATTATGTCAAAACGACTGAGATTTCTCGTATTATTAATTAATATTAACGTTAAATAACGATGACGTTAAATCATCATTGTAGAAATTATCTGCGTTAATTCCGCAGGATTCCGTAGGATTCGAGAATGCAATCGTATCATCGCGTTACTGCGCAGAATCTCTCGCAATTGACGTACCGCAGGATTTTTGCGCTTGCGATGGTGGGAGAGTTTCGAGGGGTAGAAAAAAATCGACTCGGTATTTCTTTCTTTACGAAAACATTTACAAAATTGATTTATTTCGTGAGTCCAAAGTGCTGCGACGGCAGGAACAAGCGTCTTCGGGTTCGGCCGCCCGTCACGATGGATTTTGCGATGCTGGGGAGCGGATGGGGTAGGTAGGTAGGTAAGGCAGGGTGGGATATGCGCGCATGACTCTCGGGGAGGAAATTCATCTAATAGTGGCCGTAGCCGTGGCTCTTAACGAAGACGGGGACCGTCTCCTTGACGACGACCGGATGCGGGACAGCGACTGGTACGGGGTGAGGGACCGCAACTGGAACTGGGTGGGATACCTGAAAAACGAGAAACATCAAAATCGATATTAATGACGATGGTAACAATGAAGAAAAAAAGAGAAAGACGAGAGAAGGGTAACCTTCAACCGTTGTTTCGCAATTTTGTACTTCGAAGCGAAGAAAGAGGCGAGGTTTCTCTTTACTGCCTTTACTCTCAATTTGGAGTTACATTCGCCCCGGCCCTTGTATTTCATAATAATCTTTTATGTTGTCAATTATACGTATTACGCGGAATGTGTTTACCGCGTTAGTTCTTCAGGAGAAATTCTTTGGCCGATTTGGAGTCGAAGTTTCCTCAACGAAAATATCGAAGCAATTAATTGTTGAATTATAACCGAAGGAGGGACAGCTTTTTGTGAACTAATCTTCTAGGAAAGTCGAGTAGATATAATTTTCAGTTGATTTTTGGCGCAGTTTGTTGTTGATAAAATATTTATTTAGGCCTTATATTAACTGTGTAATGTTTGTAAAATTTGGGAGAAGATTGATCAATTTTAATTTCAATTCTAATTTAACAACGATTTCATCGTAATCGGAAAATGAAAAATACACAAACAAATAAATTGAAAGTATTATTATTACATTATTAATATATTTATTACGCTTGTACTCGATTTTCATGCGACTCAGAGAAAAAAAGAAATCAAGATCGGACAATTAGTTACGGCAATTGTTACATAATGACGGAATAATTATTCCGTCTCGATATGTTCGCAATCATGAATTTGCTTTCCGTTAATTACGATTTGATAGCGGCGGTCGACGAGTAATTTTCGCTGTACGTAACTCCCTGCACGGTGACTGTAAAATTCTCTTCGATCCGCAACCGATTACATTTCTCCCCCCTCCCCTTTCTCCCCCCCTCTCTCTCTCTCTCTCTCACGAGTGCGTTTATCTACTCCGCCTAATGTCGCGTAACGTCCGCGTGAATTAGAAATCGCGGTCCTTGTTGCAGCGCAATAAGCTTGGACGCTTGTTAATTAATTCACTAATTAACAGCGACGGTTAATTAGCTAAATTAATAGCCGCGGTGGGGCGTTCTTTCGTTACGCGCGTCGCTAGCAAACAATACGGCCGTGTCCCGATGCCGTTCTTGAAAGTCGAGGGTAATGAGATGCGCGTTATTATGAACGGGTAGCCGACTAATGATGATCGTTGCGACCTTCGCGCGGAGAAATCGACGAAATTGGATAAAAATAGCGTTGTATCGTTGCCGAAATCCGCGCGCGATCGTGGTTCTCGCCGGAACTCAAAAACCACAGCGATATCGTAACACGTCGATCGCCAAGAGTGGCATTATGATATCTCCACGTCTCATTGAGTTATGCGCGAGGTGTGATTAATTATATCTGGAAAATTGGTCCTACCGGTGAAATCGAATACCAGACATATCGGCCTGTCTAACTTAATTACTTACCGCACCCTCTCGGTAACGCAGTCGTCGTAAGCTGAGCTTTCGTACGACCGACGGATATCAACGCGACAATCAACGTTATGCCACATGGTTGCTAACACCGCGTTCACCAGTGATACTATCGCGGTTCATATCGCGTGCCAGGTAACGTACAAAGTACAACATCGCGTTACATGTTTAATTGCGCCCGAGAAGTCAGCTGATCAATAGAGAGAAAAAGAGAAAGAGAGAGAAAGGGTGACGGACAAGGAAACAAAGTAAAAAAAAAACATCTCTCGAGTCTCGCACCGAGTATTCACCATATTTTTGACAAGTCGATTAATTTATGTACCAATTAATTATATTCTTCGGCTGACCGTAGGTGAAGCTTGCAAAAAGTTACGATCCGCGGCTTGCAAGGATAAGCGACGTCAGAAGTCAGAAAATTGCGGGAAGCTTCTGAGCGTCGACTGACGGGAACCACAAGGCGACAGCCACGTGTCCGTCGACACATTGTTGCCGCTCGCGGAGCACTGTCGAAGCACGAGCTGACTCGTGCGTGAACCGGCCAACAATGTGCGACTTGAGCGAATCGCGAGAGAGAGCCCGATCAACGCTCTCTCAAGCAACGACGTTATTCGCGTGAGGTTTGTCGATGACTCACCGTGACGGGCAAGGGGTAAGGGGCGGGCACTGGCACTGGCACCTTAACCGGGACCGTGACTGGGTAAGGCTTCTCTACGGGAACCGTGACCGTCCTGGTATGGACCACAGGGTACGGCTGCGGTACCGGGACGGCTACTGGGACCGCGTGCGGCACGGCGACTGGAACCTGAAGACGACGCCAATGACTCAGATTCGACCGCATGTTCTCCACTGACCGCTTCGGTCGTCCCGAAGCACTGTTAATGTCATTATTATTTCTTGAGTACTATACCTTGACAGGCACGGGGCGGTCGACGGGGACCGGGTGCGGGACCGCGACTGGGACGGCGACGGGCTTCTCCGCGATGGCGACGGCGACGCTGTGTCCACCGCCGTATCCGCCGCCGTATCCACCGCCGTATCCACCGCCGTATCCGCCGCCATATCCGCCGCCGTATCCGCCACCGTAGCCACCATAACCGCCGTAATCACCCAAACCGATTACGCCGCGCTTCTTCACGGCCTTCTCCTCAGTGGCGAACGCCGCGGAGATCAGCACCAGGCAAATCTGCAAGGCGGAAAGGGGAAATAATAAAAAATATGCTCGTCTATGATATGAGCGCGGTTGATTGGTTGAAAATAGCGAGCGGATTGGCCCGAACAAATAAGAAAATAATACAAAAGAAACAAATAGGATCGAGCAAAAGTGTACAACACGATGTCAATTATATGCGTACAATAGAGAGTGTAAAAAAATAAATGTAAAGAAATGTTAGGAGACTCAGAAGTTTCTATCTATCAATAAACCTCGAACAGGAGGAGTTAACGTGAAAACAAAAGTTTGTCAAGTAGAAATACAGACGTGAATTGGACGAGAGTAGATTTCTGAATCGATCTGACGAAGATTTCAATAAGCAAGAATCAACAAACAGACAAACAGATAAGGAACCGTTAATTGACACGACGCCAGTCGACGAATAAATATGAGAATCAGGAAACGAATAAGTTAACAAGCAGGCAAGTGAGCGAACAAATGGAACGTCTACGACGGAGACTCGAACGCATCCGGAGATGGCGAGATTTTCGTCGCGCGGGAATACTCCGGATTTCTCCGATCGATGGGACATTCGCGACGATCGCGAGATTCGGACGCGATCTCTTCTCGGGTCGCAGCGCGGGAGCGTCGATCCCGGATCGAACTCTGCGCGGGAGAGCCGCGTCCTCTCCTTTTCGCGTCGCGTCGCGGGAAGAGCTCCGCCGATCGCGCGACGTTCAATCGCGGGTCGCGCTCGCGGAGGAACGTACCAGGGCCCTCATGTCGAACGTTACTTTGGCGTGAGAGTGAGTCGCGTAGTAAAATAGATCGGTTTCTGTCTACGGGCTGGAAAAGCAACCCTTTATATAGGGAATTGACTTTCATTTCGCGCCTGCACCCCGCCAATGAGAAGCCAACGGCCGGCCGGCGTGCTATCGCCACACCTACCTAGACTCGTGCACTATTTACCCACGATACACCACACTCGCATACGGCGTCGCGACATGCACACCGACGCACACACACACACACACATATATATATATTAAAACACATAATGCGCAACGAAAGAGGAGGAGGAGGTTGTATAACACGCCAAACGTGCGCGAGACGCGAACGTTAGTAAATGGAGCGCGCGACTACTTTATGCGGACATTTGCATACGCGAGTGCATTTTGATGCAACGGCCCGATACGAGACGCAGAGCCTTAACGAGACGACGACCACGACGTCGTGATTTTTCCACCCGCCTCGTGAGACCTACCACGCGCGGCGCGGCGAGTCGCGGTTTTAGCGTTCTAGGTGAGCCGTCACGTTTGTCTCCTGCCAAGTCGAATCTTCTTGGCCGGAGATAGATATCGGCTTTCTTTCGCTCAACGCTGTAGTTACTGATGAATAACGAGCTGTTTCTGTCGTTGCTGGTGCCAAAACGATAGGTCCTTGAGAATCAAGTAGAAAACTAATTAATTAATTAGCGGATGAATAAAAAGAAACGAAGAAACAAATTAATCAATGAGCAGACAATTAAATAAGTAAATCTATGACGTCCTCCAGCGAGAAGTTGAAAATATCTCCAAATCGCGAGATTTTCGTCAAGCAAGGATTGATGAGAGAGAGAACATAAATGATGCGGAGGAAATGATAATTATTTATTTTTCTTAGTTTCACTCAGCGTTAAATCAACGTAACAATTGAAAATATGCAAAATGCGTCGATATGAATTTCTGTAAACTTTCGCAGAAAGATTATAAAGATTATAAACTGCTCACCTTCGAGCGCTTTTGTAATTTTAGCGTCAACATGTGCTCGCTCTACTACATTTATAAATATAAGAAATCGCCCGCCACAAATCATCCTCCATTTATTTTTCGTTAATCGAAAGCATAAGATTAAAGTTATCAATGGTGTACGAGTACAATCAAAATGCAAAACGAAAAAGCTGCTAAGAACTTTTTAACTGTGACTCTTTTAAGCGTGAGTTGACGAACAAACAAGCAATTAACGATAAGTGTCCGAGAATTGAACGAGCTGCATTGGTCTTTAATAGTCGATGCTAGGTGTAAGAATTTTGGCAAGTTTGAGAATTTAACGTGAGCAGAACAGAGAGAGAGAGAGCTCACCATTAATTGTGCGTTCATTCGGTTCTGAGATTTCCCTTGTTTTACATGTAAAGTTTTTCGTGTAATAACACAAGACCGACGATCATTTAAGCGCAGATGGAATGAAAATTTATCACAGTCGCTCTCCCCCCCCCCCCGATCCATCGTTTCTCGCGCCCGCCGTTGCGCGTTGTCGTCGCCATATCGTCGATAATTAAGCGGCGATAATTATTGCATCAAATCATCTTACGGCAAGGAGCGATATTTTACCGCGTCGAGCAATCCGCCCCGTCGAATCTGCTCTCCGGCATCGACGACGACAAAAATAGGGCGCACGGCTGTAAGACAATTTTTTCCTAATTAGCGCAACAAGTCGCGTACACGCACGCGGCGTAATAATTGCAACGGGGCGAATTTATCCTCAATGTCCGGCGCGAGAGAAGCCGACTTGCACAAGATTGCTCAACGCTACATACAACGGGCTAAAGCGCGTATCAGCGGCTTGGCTAATATAAATCATGCGCGCGAGGAACGCAAGAGTGTCTTCTACTGCGGCATGTGCGCTGTCATTACGTCACCCCGAGGTACAGGTTGCCGCTCGTAAGGTAACAATCTCACGGCGGCGTTGTTATTATCGTCATCTGCGAGCGTGACTGATATGTTGGTTTAAGCCCGTTCCTAAAGTCACCTTCATCGGCGCGAACCGCCCGGCCGGCCGACTGATTTACGGCAATCCTTTCCGGCCTCCCCGTGAGCACCGAAGAAGTAATTATTCTCTCGTGCGCCGCGTAAATTCCGATCGGCGCAGTCCTCGATGGAAGTCCAACGAAGTCATCGGAGGAGTGATGTCGCCCTCGACGCCGGGGACTGATGTGGGCCCTTTGGCGACCGCGACGGTCTTTATCGTTGTTTCTTCTTCGCGGCTGACAAAGAAAATAGTTTCTCCTGTAAAAATTGCGAACAGTTAAATACTGCGTTAAGATGTGACTTTGACGCTCCTCCGGGAAATGTTTTATCTTTCGAAATGGAGACTGGTTTCTTCGCGAAACGCGCGTTTCTGCTGCAGGAAGGCGCGAGGAAGAAGTTATTCTGAGTTATTCGAAAGAGAAGGAGAGAAAGATAGCGGCGAATCGTTTGAGATTTAAGTTGTCAGTGGGATAAATAACGAGTCGGGGATAGCGTTACGACGTTGTCACAAAGCGATCAGCGTCCGTCACGTTGGCACGCGAAACAGGCGCCTTACCGGTTCTCTACGCTCAAACGAGCGGTTTCCTGGTTTAATGTCCATTTGTCTCGCCGCGTGTACGCGCTCGCAAGAAGTCACTGCTAATGCACATGATTCAAGCTCATTGCTCAATCTCGCGTTAATTCGACGGGATGTTCTTTTTCTTCTCGTTATCGGTGGTCCGTTTGGCGCGGGTTGACCGACGCGATTTTGATAAGAGAAAAATAATGGCACAGGAAGATATACCTAAATAGAATTATTAGACAGATATATAGTCACACATTCCAGTCATTCGTCTTTTCCGGCTGAGGGAAAAGATGTCATCTTCTTGTTGAAAAGAAATGATCTCATTTTATCGTTGTTGGTTTCGTTTAATTTATCGCGCCTGAGAGAAACGAGAAACAGCCGACTTAAGACTTTGCGAAATTCACTCAGTCGTCGAAGTGAAAAATCTTTTTATGGTTCCTTTTTTTTTTTGTCATTGCTTGCTGATCGTCCATCGGAAAGCCTTGGTATTTTGTATTCAGCCTTTAAATCGAATTATATTCAAATGATGAAATTTAATCAACCCGATTATTGCAATGAAATTTTTCCTTCAATCACAAAGTAAAAGAAATGAATTAATAAGCGCTATCATTCCGACCAAGAACAATGTTTCATCTCTTTCAAGGATCGAGCGGGTTTCGCGCGCAAATTAGGTCTTGCGTTGGCTGTAATTAACTTCGTTTTGCGAGTTAGTGCGGATTGTGCCTCGGAACTGTTGCACAATCGAATATGAATCGCAAAGAGAAAACACACGTGCGAGTGCGCGTCTCCTGGTTGACGAAATAATTAGATCTAGCAAGGTGAGGCAAGGTCTCGCGGCGACAACACGGCGGCAATGATAGAGCGACACGGTTCACGAAAGGCTCGCAGGACTTACGGTGATTACTTAGCGCATGCTCTGAATGAGCGCAATTTGTAACGGAATGCGCGTCGTGCGCACAGTCACTCGCTTATCTGTCTCTGCCTCGCTCTCTTTCTCTCTCTTCGTCTGCCTCATGCGTGCACGTTTGATCTCGGCTCGTTTCTCGCTCATTCTCCTTCTGATTCTGAACGTTAGATCGGGGAATTGATCAGTCGCATTTTCCGGCGCTTACACCCCGCGCGCCGCAGGCAGTAATTAACAGTTATCGCAATTAACTGAATTGTCTTTCGCAGTACGACGCGCTGTCTCCTCGATGATTGCATCGCGAGTCGGCGTCGAACGCAATCCGAGTCCGCGAAGCAGCGTCGGGCCTTAATTAGTCGATGGAAATTCCAATTGAGCAAAATAATCGGCAACTTAATCATCGAATTTCATCAATCGCGTCGTCGTACACAGAGAAAAATATCATCATTCTGTTACCATGGGAAATGATTACTCGATTTGATTCAGAAACCATTCAGTTTACCTCTCTTCTTTTAAGTTGCAGTTATCATCGACAAAAATGTGTTTTCTTGACTTTCTTCTCTCTCGCAATACTCTGTTCAATGTTTTCTTGTTAACAGTCTTAAAGTGTAGTCATCATAAATTTTAGAGAAACTCATCGTCGTGAAATTAAGGGAGAAGAATTTAAGGATATCTCTTTTCAAGGATATCATTGATGAAATCAACTGATGAAATTGATGACGAAATATAATTATTAATCAACGTATAATGAATCAGATACAAACGCTTGACTGAAACAATCACTGAGAATAATCGCGATTTGCCCGATGTCAATTTCGATTATTCCAGTCAACTGTAATCGTTCAAGCGTTCAATTAATGCCCTACCCTGCCGATCGATTAAAACGACTCAAGAGGCGTTCAGCGCGTCGAGCCTCTCTCGATAGGTCGGATTTTCCGTACTTATGAAATACCGGACGGAGGAGGCTTGCAAATGCACGATGGGGGTCGCGACTTCGAACGAGTATTGCGGTATCGCTCAATTCGCGGCGCGGGCTGGATTGATAATTTAGTATCGCGTACGGTATGCCGAAATTGCGGCAGCGACTACAGCATAACGATTTTGCTGATAAATCTCACCTCTTTCACTGTTACTCGCCGACCGCCACTTTGTTGCGATCCCGTCGTGACGTGTGCGCGAATGTGTGTGATATATCGACGGTATAAACGGCGCGATAAACCGTCGTCGTAACTGCTGACTGTATTAACATATTGCCTATCGTTGTTACGTTCTTGCGTTCTTCGCGTAACTCGCCGATAAGTGAGTGCGCGTGAGGAAACGATCCTGACGATGACGACAGCGGCGATCGGCAACGGCTGCGCGATCTCTTTCGCCAAGGAGCAAATGAAAAGCGCGTCTTGCAGGGGGGGAGGGGGGAGTAAAAATTGTGTCTCGCATACACACGGCATCGCCGACAGTTGACGGAGCCTCAAGGACTCCGCTGATACGGACGATCCTTTCGCAAGCCGTATTAGCCACGCACGCGACTCTTTACAATCTTTATCATACATCCACACGCCCAGAGCAGCGCAATAATTTACGCGCTCCCTTCGTA